ACATGGGTATAAATTTAGAATAATAATTTAGCAATCCCAAATAAGCTCTTAATTCAGTTAAATTTTTGGGCGCAGGAGCTTTCTGAATAGCTTCTATTTTCTTTTGCATTGGTTTAACACCTTCTTTATCTAATACATGTCCCAAGTATTCGACAGACTCACGAAAGAAGCATGATTTATTTTGATTAATTCTAATATTATATTTATTCAGTCTTTCAAAAACTTTTAGCATATTATTCTTACAATCAGTAACATCTTCCCCAGCAATAATGACATCATCCAGGTAAACACTTGTCATATCTATACCAGACAAAACTTGTTCCATCAACATCTGAAAAATTGCTGGAGCGCTAGACACACCGTACGGTAATAGTGTAAATTTATATAACCCACAGTGCGTATTTATTGTTAACAAATTTTTAGAAGTTTCATTGACTTTTAACTGCAAATAGGCATTTGACAAATCTAAAATTGTAAAAACTTTACCTCGGACTAATTTATGAAAAATATCTTGCAGGTTTGGGAGGGGGTAATGATCCTGTTTCAAAATAGGATTCAAGGTTTTTTTAAAAATCTCCACATATACCTAATTCCTCCATTGCTCTTTTTTACTATGACTATTGGACTTGCTATTTCTGCTTGTGTGGTTCGTACTAAGATACCTGACTTTTCCCATTTGACTAAGTTCCTTACTTACTTGTTCTCGAAGAGCATAAGGTACATCATATGCTTTGTGAAATATCATTTGAGCATCTTCTTTAATAACTAAATTGGCTTGACACTCTTCTATGGCTTGACTATTGTCCTGACTAAAACTTTTGGGAAGAGTGCCCTAAAATGTTCCAAATCTGCAAACTTGACCGCATTTACCTCACCTTGACTATTATTTACCTTAAAAATTTCCCTCCAGTTCGGCTTTATTACATCAAGCCAAGACCCTACCTAACAAGGGAGTAAATTTCTCCTTAGTATCTACTATAAATAAAGATAACTTATAAACATTATTGTTTGATTTTACGTTAACATTAACCTTACCTATTACAGTCAATATACTTCCTGAAACAGTTTTTAACTTACTACTAGTTTTATTTACTGTCAAATACAAAATTTTTCCTTAAATTCAATAAAAGACATAAGACTTACAGTAGCTCCACTATCAACTTCCATAGTTACTTCCTTATTTTCCACTTTGACGTTTATTAAGGCTGGAATAGACTTAATATTGTTGATTTCAATTATCTGGTTTGCTTCTCTCCCACTTCTGACTCGACATTACCTTCTTCTTGTACAATGCTATTAAATTCATATACATTTTCTTGTTGGTTTTCTTCTTCTTCTTCTTTGTGAAGTTTACATTTCTATATCTACACACGTGTAGATGTGTGACCCTGCTTCTGACAGACAAAACATTTCCATTCTTTAGCAGGACAGATATCTGCATTGTGAAATCTAGAACATCTCCAACAATTTTTATACCTGCTTCTAGACTGACTTGAAGGATTATTTGGGTGACTTCCATTACTTTGACCATTTTATTACTTTGGTGACTAACAATACTTGGACTAGATTTAGTATTTGTTTTTAATTTTTGTGGGTTAACTTTTTCATAGACTTTATGAACACTATCTGGTTCGTGCTGAATTCTTTGCTTTCCAGGTATATGATTTCTTGGGCAAGTGCAATGTTACAAGCTTTAACAAATGTGAGATCTTGTTCTGACAAAAGCCGATCTTGAATTCTTTTTTCAGATATTCCACAGACAAATTTTATCTCTTAACGCCCTGTCAAGATAATCATTGACCATTTCAAATTCGCATAAAGATGCTTGTTCTTTTAGATTTGCAATATACTGAGCAATAGTACTGGTACCTTGGTTTAATTTGTAAAACTTGTAACTTTCATATATGACAGACTTTTTTGGTGCCATTCTATCTTTAGTAGTTTCTTATAATTCTGCATAACTCTTAGAAGACACTGTTGCTGGCTTTGTTAAGTTTTTCAACATTTTATATGCCTCACCTCCAATTAAGGTTACAAAAAGATCCATCTTTTTCTTCATCTTCCACCTTATTACACTTGAAAAGGTGATCCATTCTTTCTAGATATGTCTCAATCTCTGTTTTGTCTATTTGGATGGCTTCTATATTCCAATTAAAGCCATTTTTTTTTTGTTCTACTGGAGCAACGTACCTACTTTCAGACTTCTCGACTTTTATTAGCTTTCATTGACTTCTTATACTTATACTTTTGACCTCTTGTGGACCCGTTTTATCCTCGTCGCCAATTAATATGTCCGTACTTGAGAATAGTGGATTTATTTAAGACTTTTTAAATAAAAACATGTTTGGATGTAATCCTTTATTTCTCACATTCCCCACAATGACATTTTATCTATCCCTCAACAATACCTAACCTCTAAGCGTGTTCCGTAGCAAACTAAAGAATACAATATGTTCGGAACACAATTACACAATACATCACAGTGATATGATAAAAATCTTAAGAATGTTGCAAAGTTAATCATTTGACATTTAATTTTTCAAAAATCAAATGAATTTCTTTTAAGAATGATCTAAACAATATTACTCTGAGCAATGAAGGCATTTTTCTGACACCGTAAACAAATTTTTAGGTCTCTATATTAATAATAAACTTAAATTTGAGCAACACACTATATGTTTAAAGCAAATATATATCATCGAGTTGCTGTGTGATCAAATCAGTTGCTCACCATTTAGATTTCAAGATTGCAAAAAGTGTTTATGTGGCCCGGATTGAATCTAATATGAGATACGGTATTGCCTTTTGGGGTAGCTGTTCTCTTCATCATTTCAGTAGACATTTTATGATGCAAAAGAGAGCACTAAGATATTTATGCAAGGTCAAGGTTGCAAGGTACATCATGCAGACCTCTGTTCCATTAACATGGTATCTTAACACTCCATCCTTTCATGTATATCCTTGAATCATGTATAATCCTTGAATCAGCGTGCTTAACTTTTTAAAAAACAAAAGAGGATATTCGGACAGATTCCCCTTATAACACTAGTCTAAATTATGTTATTCCACTTCCAATGTCCTCTTCTACATTAATTAAAAAAATCATTTATTTACACTGATAAGAAAGTATTTAATCACCTATCACTCGATATAAGATTCTCAAGTAATATTTTTGTGTTCCAAAGAGCAATTAAGAAGTTTTTATTATCTAGATGTATCAAGGAATTTCTTGAGGATAGTTGCGTTATTTGATATATTTGTTTTTCTAATTATGGAAATTTTGTAATTAGTATTTTATTGTATCTTGTTTGTACTATACCATGTTGGGTTTTATAAATGTAAACTCATTTTAAAAACAACAAATTTCTCTCTCTCTCTCTCCAATATTCAACGGCAATGTGACTAGGTACAATATCTGATTGTTATGCAAATTAGTAATTAGAAAGTCAATATCGGAAAAACCAGCTTATTCAAATTGTAGATACCTACCTACTATACTAAATACCTACCTATTATCTTTCCGCTACCTTCAATACTACCTTGGTGGAATGTCCTTTTTCTCCTAACGCCGGGTCCGAAGCACCTGTGTAGACTACAATGTTTTGGATAATACCAGAAAGTTTTGTTGTAATATACAGTTTGAATGCCGAATTTATTCTTTTTCTGCTTAAAACCAAGTTTGCCTTTCCATATTGTGAGCGAAGTCTAAGCATCTCAAGATTAGCAGAAAACGATCTCTGTTCATGTTTTGGGAAAAATCTTCCAATTTTGACATGCGTATGGTACCAGTATGGAAAATTAATCCAATAAACAACAAAAATTCTGGTATGAAAAACGATTTCCATCTAGAAATCCGGCCATGTTCCCGAGCACCAACTTCAGACAAAATTGTTTGTTCAGCATAAATCTCTGTAACAGGAAATCTCTGCATCTCCAAAACCTCATCTGTCCAAACTACAGCAGTGTTTTCTTCCTTCTATATCAGCCATACTTTTGATATCCTCCATTTCAGTAAATATTTCATCACATGTACAACAATAAAATAATTTACTATTTTATTTGGGAATAAAGCCACAATTTAGGTTTAAAATTAAATTCTGACGAATATTCTTAAAAAGTTGATTTCATGTAATCGAATGAACTATTTTACAATAAAGTTGTCTCAGGAACTTAACTCTATTATCTTTTGGCAATATACATTTTAAAGTTGTCTACTTTAAAATGTATGTCTTAAATTGTCCATATCAATGAGTCAGATAAAATTAAATTAATAGAATTTTTTTACTAAGCAACAAAAGCAAAATTTGTTAAATTTTTTGTATTTTCATAAAGATTTCAGAAGTGGAAGTAGAAATGTCAAATAACTTTAATCTCAAACCTAAATTGTACATAATATGCTACAAAGACCTAGCTTTAGAACTATAATAATAAAATATTCCTAAAACTTATTACTAATGGAGAGCTATACTATAATGTACATTATATCTCATATTGCTCACTCATTACTATAGTGAGCGATATGAAATATAATATATTTATAGTATACTTTCGTCAGTATCAATAATGCGTCTTGTGTGAATTTTGCACTTTGTTAATTTAGGTTTTTTAATTCCCAAAGGGCCTGGGTGTTGTTCATCCACATTCGCACACTTCATATTAGGATTCAAAAATGAAAAGCACTCTAGACTCAGATCAAAGTCATAGGCAGTGAACGAGTTAATACATGATTTAGTATAAGCCTCATTTTAACTTCTGTACCACCTCAAGAACTTCCTTTATTTCTTGCTGCACTATTTTTTTTGTTTTTTTATAGTATATCTGTTCCTTGACCTATATTGTCTACTTTTCCTGTCACTCATCTCGCTCCCAAATCTTGTTTGTGTGTGTCATTTTTCACACTTATTTTGTTTAAAAGAATGGAAACTTACTTACCAATTTGGTAATGTGCCTAAGAAGGAAAAAGTAATGTTTATTTTTTTGTAAATAAAAAACTTACATTAAGAACACTTTTTATTACTTACAAAGTAACATTTTGTATTTTAGAAAAATATATTTAAGCATCTGCAATGGTAACTTCAACTTCTACACCAGGTTCAATGTTGATAGAAGTGATTTGTTTGACAATTTCTGATGGGGAATGTAAGTCAATAACTCTCTTATGAATTCTCATTTGGAATCTATCCCAAGTTTTGGAACCTTCACCACAAGGTGTCTTACGGGTGGTAATTCTTAGGATCTTGGTTGGCATACGTACTGGTCCCTTTACTTTAAGTTTCTGCCTTTTGGCAGCATCAATTAGGTCTGAACATACTTTTTCCAATGAACGAACATTGCGAGAAGTCAAAGTAATCCTAATGTGGTGGATTGGGGCAGATTCCTGTCCAGGTTTTTCAGGGTTAGCTTTCTCAACAGATGCCTGAAACAAATAATTTTTTAGACTGAACTCCCTAACTGAAATTTTAGGATATGAATGAAAAAAGTCTTTCTGGACAATTTCCACTTATCCTTATGTTTTTAACCTTTGAATTGTTCAACAGATGTCCAAGTAAAATGTATGTGTGGTTGTAAAATAGAAAATTTCAGTGCAATAGAGTGGATTCAGACCAACCTCTTTAAATCTAGACTACTCAAAAGTAATTAAGAAAGTACATCGTACCATTTGTGTTAAAATTTAGAAGTATACCTTCCTCAAAACTTTAAGAGAAGCTAGTTTGGTGTGTATAAATAAGTATTAAAACAGTTATTAACCATGTGCTCACATAACCTCAACCGTAAAAGAAATGTTTTTAACATTAATACACAAAAAATAATCATAAAATCTTAACCTTATAGATAGTGTGTAATATACTCACCATTTTAAAATATTTCTGGTCGAGGTAATCAATTTATAATTGGATAATTGACCAGCGCTGAACCAGAAGAACACACTTCTTTCAACAACAAAGTCAAAAAGAAACTTTTTTGGGGTTTGTGGTGTGAAAATAGGAACAGAACGAATAAGAAGACATATGACAGCAATGAAATTATTGCCTTTTTTATGTCGACAAAAAGGTAGGAATGGAAATTAGCTCAGTCTTTGTTAAACACCAAATGAGCTTAAATAAAAAATATTCAGTTTTGATTCTCACTATTATAAAATTACATAATTTAATTCAGTTTATTATATATTCGCTGTCTTATTCGAGATTAATGGCAAAGATTTTGTAATGTGGCAACTGCAGATTTGACGATTGCCAAATTTATCCCCTAATCTACCAAAGGGTAATTGCTAAAAAAATATCTAATAATTAACTGCAATTAATCTCCAAAGAAACAAAAATTTACTCATTCTTGTTTTATATAATACAAAAATTTCAGAATTTATAACATAATAAAAATAAAATATACTTTTCTAAAACTTTATCTTTTTATATTTGAAGCAAACAGTATCTACATTATAAAAACATGCCAACACTGCTACACCGAAATTTTGTTCCATGTATGATATTTGTGGCTATAATCATGATACTATGACTATAAGATAAGATATTGCGCATGTTTTTGTGACGTCATTGGAGACTTGCACGTTCGAAATGTCAGTTTTTGTATATATCAATAAATAATCTTTAATAAATAGTTTGGAGATATCTTATGTGTACGATTATTATAATTATTAAACCTCTTAACTTATTTTCGTCTAGTAATTTCATCACAGAATGCATACAAATCTCATTTAACTTTAACAAGAATTCAAATTCTAGTCTCCAATGACGGCATGCGCGAACCCGACCGATTTTGAGCTACGGGAAGATCCTATCTTGTTATTCATAGTATCATGGCTATAATCAGCTCATCGAGCAAAAAGACAATAGAGGAAATGTAAAGGTAGTGGGGGCAAACATATTGTTAAACAGGAAGTGCGATCTTTAGAGGCCACTTTAAAACAAGGAAAGAGAGTCTCTCTCCTTGTTTGACAATCAAATTTAGTTGGGTTATGTTATTGTTTATCCCAATGACGTATAATATATAGACTCGGTGAACGCTTTAAAAAGTGTCCAAAACATGAATACCTTTGTTATTGTTTATTGTTTTGATACGAAGATACACGAAGTTCATGATTTCTTACGAAGCATCACGAAGTTGATCTTGTGTTTGAAAACATCATGGACGTATGAAAGCATTTTCTCCATTTTGTGTGACAAGCAAATTTTATTTAAATTGTTGAGAGTTATTAACTTACTATTTTAGTAAAATGCCATACTATTTTATCAAAATAATTATTTCTCTTATAGACGGGAACAAAAAGAAATCATAAATATTTAATTTTAATTAAAAAATAATTATTGTCATTAACATATAAATGAGCACGCCGCTGTTGTGATAAACATACCTTCAACCTTGAGCCGAGATCTTTCGGACACACGATTCTATAGCGAGAATAGGGGGCTGCGTAGTCTATATATTATACGTCATTGTTTATCCCAAATGTCACATGAAATCTTATTTATATTGAAGTTTTTTAACAATTGTGTCGCATTTTAGACGCTTATCATTAATAATTAATTAAAACTTTCTCGTCTAAGACACATTTTGAAAAAATATTATATAGCTACTGTTGATAAGTGTCGGAAAATTTAAATTTGGCGCATTCGCATTTCCGGATATGTCCGCCATCAGAGGCCACTTTTTTGGTCTCCTTTTCATAAGGATTAGATTCCCTCTTTTGTCTTATTGGTCGATGAATCAGCTTGTACTTTTTAGATGCACTTGTATGCAAGCCAAAAAGACGAAGTGAAGTCAAGTGAAGGTTGTATCCATCGAGCAATAAGACAAAAGAGGGAATGTAAAGGTAGAAGGGGTAAACATATTGATAGACAGGAAGTGCCATCTTGAGAGGCCACTTTAGACAAGGAAAGACAGTCTCTTTCCTTGTTTAAGAAGTCAAATTTAGTTTGGTTATGTTATTGTTTGTCCCAACTGTCACATGAAATTTTATTTATATTGAAGTTTTTTACCAATTATGTCACTTTTTAGACTATTATCGTTGATATTTAATTAAAACTTTCTTGTCTGAAAAATATTTTACAGGTATTGTTAACAAGTGTTGGAAAATTTAAATTTAGCGCCTTTGCATTTCCGGATGTGTCCGCCATCAGAGGCCACTTTTTTGGTCTCCTTTTTATAACGATTAGATTCCCTCTTTTGTCTTATTGCTCGATGGTTGTATCACAGTATAAATAACAACATACACATACTGTGGTTGTATTCTCCATTCGCTTAGCTCGGGCATATTTTGACAGATTCATTGTTGGAAACCTACAACACAACAATTCCTACTTCGCAGTATTAATAGCTCAAATATACTACTATTGCAGACTTCTTCCTTTATAAAAAGAAGAATTATTCCAAATAGTGGAAGTGTGTACTAAACCCATAAAATTTTCCCTGTATATTTAAAATTTAATATTCGAGTTGTTACAATTGAACATATTGTAGTAAATATTTGTATTATTCGCGTTATGTAAATATAGTTTTATTATTCTTTGTTAGTTCTATTTAGTTAATTAGTTAGTTCTATTTTGAATTTTATTATATAACAGTCAAAGTTTTCCATTTGTTCTATCAGATAGTGCGTTGGTAAGTTTTTCTTAAATAAATATAAATATAATAAATGTTCTTTAAAAGTTAATATTTTTAGATGAGTAAGGATGCTGTTAAATTACGAGGTAATCAAACTGCACAAAGATTTATTCAAAACACCAACCATTTTTGTTTAATTATTTGCCCATTCGGGGTAGGTGGAACATTATAATATATTTATAAAATTATGTAAATATGTTCTTAATAACAAAAACATTTCAGTTAACATCCAGTTCAGTTTGACATGGCGTCAAAAATTAAATAAAAAGTTACAGTAATTTAGTTATATCATTATAGTTGCTCCAAATGTAGGCAACCAACTTAAACTTGTTGTTAGGATTTAGCTGGAGTTTCTTGAGAATATTTTTAATAAACGTTATTATTTTCCAGTTAATTTATTATTTTTTTAAAGTGGATGATAATAATTAATGAATAAGCAATATTTCAAATGATATTTAATCACAAAACGTACTTAATATTGTGTTATTGTAAAATCCTCATAATAGAGTACGTTAGATAAAAAAGGTAAAATCCCGGGTCGTCCAAAACTAGTTTCTAATAGAAATAATAGAAGATTATGATTTGTTTTAATTATTTTTTTGATGATATTGATTATATTTTTGAAGAATGATTATTTTTGAATTATAATATGAATATTATAGATATTTTTTATCTAACCTACTTTATAAACACAATATTAAGTACGTCCTTGTGATTAGATATCATTTGAAATATTGTTTATCATCACTTTAAAAAAATAATAATAAATTAACTGGAAAATATTAAATGTTTATTAAATATATTCTCAAGAAACACCAGCTAAATGCTAACACAAATTTTAGGTTGGTTGCCTACATTTGGCGCAAACTAACGATTAAAGGATTCCCCACACCGACGCGAAACTTTTGCGACGCGAAACCGTTGCGGAACATTCGCAGGCGGAGCACTATTAAATTCATTATATATAATATATAATAGAAAACTTACCATTTTCTCCTAGAAATGACCCTATATTATCCCAGACTTTATCTTTTTATTCTTATATTTTTATAATCTTTCGTCACTTAAATCATAAATTATAGGATATTGTTTCACAATTTCAATTAGTTTTTCTGATAACAGCCATTTTAATAATTCACGCGAAACTATAACTTGCTATAAAGTCCGATTTTAACACGCTTGCAATTTTACCTGCAAGACGCAAGAAAGTTGCCCAAAGGCATGCGCAGTATAGTCCGTCAGCTGATTATTGTCCTGCAACTTATTGCAGTTGCGCAATAAATCGGTTTGGTGCCAATTTTCTGTGCAAAGTTTTCATGCAAGTCTAGGGGAATTTGTAGGAAGTTTGATTTTTTTCACAATGTCAAATGTCATAATCACTGATTGACACGGAGACATGCCGATCAGCTGTTTCCTGTTTTTCGTTTTATTATTTCCTTTCCCACCCATTTGCATTTAGCTTTGGCTTGATTTGTAGATTATCGGCTTTTTCTAATTTTAATAATTTTAATTAATACGTTAGAGTATCATCAAAAATTGAACTATCTTCTGCCCGAATTACCAACAATGTCTTGCATAGTCTTGGCATATACGAAATTTACTATCTATCTATACTAAATCCATCCATCTATTGGAAATTAATTCTAAATATAATCATTTTAAATTCTAATCTAAATATATCGAAATTAATTCTAAATCTATCTATCGAATTAATTCAATCTTATCAAACTAAATCGACTAGTGTTTTTAAATAAACAAGTAAATTAAAAAAAATCATAAATAACGTTAGGTTAAGAGTAAAAAATTTCAACATTAATTGCAAAGCTGTAAAGTCGCACATAAAGACCTGCAAATAAATTGCATGAAATTAGTCATGCAAGAAGTTGCAGCAAGTTTCTTGCAAGCTGTAAAGCGGTCTAAAACTGCAGCGGAAAATAACACCGTGCATGCAGCGTTTCATGAAACGTCAACGCATGTTCTGCCGCGACCGTTACCGGTTTCCGTCCGAACTTGTCTGAACACATGCATTAAGTCGCCGTGCCTTACGATTCGCCGCGATTCCGCTGCGAAAGTTTCGCGTCGGTTTGGGGAATCCTATAAACTAAATTACTGTAACTTTTTTTATAAAACATATTTTTTATATATAATAGAAACATACATTCTATATACATGCTATACATTTCTAATTCATAGTATAGGTTTGCAAAAGAGGTCGACGAAATACT